AGACTAGATAGAGGAAAGATAGAGAAAAATAGCTATAGAGGAAAGAGAGAGAGATGATAGGTAAATAGATAGGCAGATAGGCAGACAGATCCCGATAGCCTGTCATCTAGTTAACCCTTACTATTTAATCTCTCTATCCTTTATCTCTTTGTCTACTATCTAGCTATCTATCTATCGTCTCTCACTCTATCTTTGTTTATCTGCTGCCTTATTTAGGATGGATAGATAGATGGATACAGTGATCCAGGGACAGTTAGATGATAAATAATAGATAGATAGATGGATAGAGAGAAAGAGAGGGAGAGATAGAGATACAGAGATAGATAAAGGGATAGATAGAAGATAAATAATAGATAGATAGATGGATGGGCAGGCAGGAGGCCAACTGTCCCATGGATTAAAATCAAATTGTCTGGGTCCTATTGAGTCTCCAATTTGAGCCTCTGATCAGAAAGCAGAAGAGTTTCACCTGCTGACCAGTTTTGCGGGGTTCTGACCCAACCTGAGGTCCCCCCTGCCTGCCATTTTGCAGAATTAGAGCTGGTCAGCCCCGTGTTCCTCCAGCCAAAGGCCCCCCGACCTCTGGGTCAGGCAAAAGGGAGAGGCCCCCCCCCCCGGGGGCTCCCCCGCCCGAGGGAGCCCCCCCCCCCCCTTGCAGAGCCTCCACAACCTTTTGGGCGCCGGGTAGTTGGTGTCGGTGCCCGAGTGTGTGCAGGGATGTGTGAGTGGTGACAAGATGTGTTTCGGCATACAACAGGCGTGTGGGGGAGTTTGCAGTTGTCTAGGCAACACAGCACTCCTCGTTTGGCAAGACACACGAGGCAATTGTGTGTTCCCAGAGCTGATCCTAGCACAACAACACAAAAGACTCTTTGGCGGGGACTTGAGGTGGGCTCCTCCTAAGCCCGGAGAGTGAGAGGAGGAGGAGGAGGAGGAGGAGGAACCCGCTTCCTTTGCAAAAGCCCCTCCTGCCAGCATCTGCCGAAGGCTCGGCTTTAAAAGACAAATGTGCTTGAAAACCAAACTTGAAATTATATTTTTAATTTAATTTTAATCTTGAAATCCCCCGGCTTTGGAGGCATCAGCTGGCAAAGCACAGAACCTTTTGGAGTGGAGTCATCTCTCTCTCTCTCTCTTTCATTCTTTCTCTCTTTCTCTTTCTCTCGTTCTTTCTCTCCCTCCCGCTCTCTCTTTTTCTTTCTCTCTCTCGCCCTCTCTTTCTCTCTATCCCTTTTTCTCTCCTTCTCTCTCTCCTCCCTCTCCCTCTCCCTCCCTCCCCCCCTCTCCTTTTCTCTCTGAGACATTAAGTGAGTCTTGCCCCATCTTATGACCTTTCAGGCCACAGTCATTAAGTGAATCGAGTGAGGAGTAACATGGTCGTTAAGCGAGTCCAGCTTCCCCATTGACTTTGCTGGTCAAAAAGGGGGATCCTCTGACCCCCCCCCACGCCCCCCAGGGAGCCTGCGATGGTCGTAAGTGGGGAAATGGTCCTAAGTCACTTTTTTTTTTTCAGTGCCCTTGTAACTTGGGTCACTGAAAGAGCTGCTGTAAGTTGAGGACTCCCTGTGGAGTTTTTAGCCTCTGTTCTTCTCCAGGCAGGGCTGCCAAACACTGGAGGAATCGTGGGCGGAAGGGGAGCAAGGCCAGGAGGAGAGACAAACGGAGGTCCATCGCGCGGAAGACCATTCCCCCTGCTAAATTGCTCTGGCCGGGAGAGCATCCTGCTCGGACCTTCTGGCCAAGGTGGTGGTTCTGCTAGCCCGGCACAGCAGCGACGGCACAAGGCCGGCTTTTCTGTGGATCAAGGCTGAGGACGGGGGTGGGTGGGTGGGGGGGATCTGCCAGCCTCGGAGAGGCTCCCTGAACGGGATCAGCTTCTAAGGGTTTGGGCCCCTGGGGACCCATCCGAGGGCTCAGCCTCACGGCCCCCCTCACCACTGTTGGAGGCCCCCTGCTCACCACCATGTCTTCCTCTAAGTGAAGGAAGGAAGGAAGGACAGAGAGAGAGAGAGAAAGGAAGAAAGGGAGGAGGGAGGGAGGAAAGGAAAGAAAGAACAGAAAGAGAGAGACAGAAGGAGGGAGGGAAGGAATGAAGAGAGGACAGAACAGAAAGAGGAAAGAAGAAAGGGAGGGAGGGAAGGAAGGAAAGAATAGAAAGAGAGAGAGAGAGAGAAAGGGAGGAAGGAACAAAGGGAGGGAGGGAGGGATGAAGGGAAGTGCTTTTTTCCCCTCCTGTCCCAATACAATTTCGGCCTCCGGGACGCCAGCAGTGAACAGGCCAGAAGCCAGGATCTAGCCACCTTCCAACGGCCACTGCAGGGAGGAGCCAGGGCAACAAGGGAAGGAGCACAGCACACACACACCCCAGACGGAGCCCCGGAGGGTCCCCGGGTTGGAGGAAGAGCACCTCCAGGACTTGGGAAGGAGGAGAGGGAGCCAGGGAGAAGGCCACCATTCTCAGCCACCTCCGTTTGGGCGCTATTGTTCCTTTTCTCCTCTCCGCAACGGCCAAGAGAACCTCGCCAGATAAATGAACTGTGGATTTTCAAGGTGAGCTCGAAATGGGGGCGGTGGAGGCGGCCTTAATGATCCGCCCAAGGTTATTTTCAGCCAAAGGACAGCCAGCCTGACAAAAAACAATGGATATTTGCCTCTCTTCCAGGCCAGGGACTCCTCGACGTACGACTGCAATCCAGGCCGAATTTTCCGTTGCTAAGGGGGAGAGTTGTTAAGTGAGTCTTTGTCCCGTTTTACAACCTTTCTGGCCGCTGGGGATCAGGGAATCCCTGCGGTTGTTAAGTCAGTCACACGGTCATGTTAATGGGGCCTCCCCCATTGACTTTGACCAACTGAAGGTCCAGGAGAGATGGAATCACAGGAATAAGAGAATATCAGAGTGGAAAGGGGCCTTGGAGGTCTTCTAGCCCAACCCCCTGCTGGAGCCTTTCAGACAGGTGGCTGTCCAAGCTCTTCTTAAACCCTCCAGTGCTGGAGGACCCACAACCTCTGCAGTTCCACCCGTGAATTGTTCTCCCCGTCAGGAAACGGTTTCTCCTTGGTTCTAGGTTGCTTCTCTCCTCCCTCAGTTTCCCTCCCTTGCTGGCTGGACAGGAGGGCCTAGGATCTCCTGCCTTGAATTGGACTAGAAGACCTCCAGGGTTCCTCCCAACTCTGGTTCTTCCGTCGTCTTCCTCCTGCCCTCTCCTGATCTGGAAGAAGTTTTG